GAAAAACGCGCAAATGATCGTAATCAACAGACCGCGTAACGCCACTGAGCCAACCAGTTTTAAATCATGGGACTTTGGCTTTCATCAAATTCCTACAGTAACCCTGCTCTATCTCTCCGGGGTGAAGAATGTTTACCACATCCGAAATAGCGCAGCGAATAAGCCCGCCAGACCAAGTTTCAGTCAACTGCTTGAATCTCGCCCGACTACCGTATACCTACCGTAACCTCGCTAAATGTACCCGCTCTCACAGATGAATGCCATGTTCGCAATCAGCATGCCAAATAATCCCACTGTACCAGGTTTCAGCCAATTTCGTGATTCTTGCCCAACCCGCCCTACCGTAACCTCGCTATGTGGGCGAATGGTGAAAAATAAGCATCGGGTTCGTGATCAAAGCGTGCCAAATAACCCCACTGTACCGAGTTTCAGCCAATTTCATGATTTTCGCCCAACTACCGTATCCCTACCGTAACCGCTCTATATAGACATATGGCGACGAATGAACATCATATTCGTTATCAGCGTGCCAAATAACCCCATTTTACCGAGTTTCAGGCAATTTTGTGACTTTCGCCCAACTACCGCATACCTACCATAATCCCGCTCCGTGGCCCCGTAGCGAAAAACGAATGTTATATTCATGATCAGCATGCCAAAAAGCCCCATTGTACCACAACTACCGTATCCCTACCGTAATATGTGGGCGAATGGCGAAAAATGAGCATCGGATTCGTGATCAGAGCGTCGGATAACCCCCGGGACCAAAATTTTACAAAATTTTGAATTTTTGTGCTCAACGGTGCACCATGATACCCCCATCATGCTTTATGAAACTCGGAGCAAAATCTACCCCGGAAGACTTTTTTCTGCACCTGTGCGTTTACGCACTATTTCTCTTTCTAACCAAACTCAGAGTTAACTCCGAGTTTTGCCGGCGCCTGAAACGCGCAGCAAACTCGGAGTTAACGCGCAGCTGAGCTGCGCGTTTCGTCGCGTAGCGCCTCGCGTGGAGCGAATTACGCTACGTTTCTACACTTGGCATAAAGTACGTCTTGCGGGGTATCCTGCCATATAACCCTTTCCCCAATTTGGTTTGCTTATGCAGGTGTTGATGGTCCCTGAAAGGTGCGTGTTAACTCAGAGTTAACTCTGAGTTAACTCTGAGTTTGAGCTGCGCGTTTCGACAGGTTTACTACCGGCCCTGGTGTTTAAAATGGACATGTTTTCAGATAAAATGCGGTGTATCTCTCGGTAGAGGGGGCTAGAAAGAAGTCGACGATTTAGGTCGAATCCCCTTTTTCTGAGCCAAATGAATGCTACGAGGATAAATAAATAATATAAATAAACATAAATACCGTTTTTTCTGTAATAATGAGTGTACTTGTTGTTTGAGGTACTTAGCCTGCAAAACGTTTTAATAACGATTTTTATCATATTCTCAGAGTACAATACCAATCTCAGCCCAGGTGAAAGGGGTCATCGGCAGTTTGGCCTCAAAGTGAAGGGGGTAAGATCCATTACTACCTCTATCGCAACTATGCTCCTGTCCTTCGATCACTTTTGTTGGTTGAGCACTTCTCATCATTTTTTCGTCTAAATTTTCGTTAGAAACTTCTTTCTTCTTCCTTTTTTTTCGGACTCTTTCGATGATCGAATATCCTACAACTTCTACTTTGAGATACAGAATGGTCAAAAAATGATTGTTCGTACACTTCTTGACACCTAACCTTTTTACCTAACAATGCCCGGACAAAGGTTATTAAAAATTATAAGCTCCCTGTATAAGCGGCTTTGGCATTACGCTTTCCCTTAGATGAATACATTCTAATGTTTTTTTAGCATTTCCTAGTGATGTCCCTGTGATGAGAGTGCTAAAGTAACATTTCATTGGTTTGTGCGAAGAAAATGGCAAATTATTGTAGAACGTTAAAGGAAACATACACCAATCGTAACCATAATATCCGCCACTGCAAGTGTGAAGAAAACTCATTCTTTCTTTTAACTTTGCTCGGCATGGTTTAACACAATGAAAAAGGGCAACTGCATGAAGTGAAAAAGAATGTGAATACTTAATTAGAGGAAAAAATTGAGTACACGGATGCTGCGAGCTGCCAAACGCTGAAACGTACGTATGCTGGGAAGAAAAAGAATGCCCGTGTGGGGTGATCGCATGAGTCGGAGCAATTGTCGTCGGAATCGTTTACAAGGTTCAACATATGAAATGGCGAAGATAACGCAGTGACTATCGCCTTTTTCTGAAAGCTACTCAAGCAAAATAGAGCAAGAATTAACTCAAGACTCAAGATTGCATTCTGCTTGGAAGTTTTTTTCCTCAGTTACCGATCTCACAGAATAGTAGCGTCCAAAAATCTCGCCAAAGCTATCTATCGCAGTATTGCAGTGGGTAACGAAGTAAGTCAATGCTTGGAACAGGAGAGGCATAAAAGTTGTGACTCGTCTCAAACATTCGTTTTGCGAATGACACCGTTCTCTCGAGAAGGATCACTAAAGCAAAGCTAAAAGTACACAACGATATCGAAAAGAGCACTGGAGGAACGTGTTCGAGTGCAGACAGAATTAGGCCCGTAGTAAAAAACCCTTCCAGCGCAACTCGGCTGGAAGCGGGCCTGCGCTAATTTTGAACGCCTTGGTTTGACGTCCAGTGTACGAATAATCTGGATGTGGATTGCTTTCTAGACCTAAAAGTCTTGATCGTTTTCAAAAACCAGAACCTTGGGCAGGTGGTTGAACGCATAAGTGAATGGGATAATACAAGAGGACAGCGTCGAGTTCGAGGGTTAGGCCGATTAGGGGCGGATTTGCGCCATCGCCGGACAATCCTCGAAAGCGGTTACCATCAGGAAAAAAATTGATGGTGACCGCATCAAGGAAATCGCCTAGCAAGTGGATGGAAAGAACAAAACTACGATATTCTATTGGAGATATTATGAAAAAGTTAAAAAAACAAACGGGGTGAAAGAGGTAAAGGAAAATCTTATTTTGTGCGGCTTTCAAAAAAATTTAAGCGAATTCTGCAAAAAAACCAGTTTCCTTTTTTCGTCGCCTAAACACCTGTTCACCGATCCTCGCCTATTTGCTACCCCTCCCCCAAAATTGCGCAGTCTTGTGAGTTGTGCACACAAAAATACGTCAGTACGTCAGCTGCATTGTCGTGTTAGTTACTCACGAACAGCCTACGGGAGATTTGCCTGATTCTCCCCTCTTGCACACTATGTCCGTCTGTTCACCCTAGAATCTACTCACTGCTAAGTGTCATTACATTGTACTGACGGTGGCACTTGACCGGTCTTCTGACTGTCCGATTTACTAAGTGCTGGCCAAAACTATAGATCCACTCTAAAACTGCCGTAGTTCAACTGCTTCTTAACGAATTGATCTCAGATTTGGTACAGCTGTGTGTTCAACAGGCTTTCATCAGTGACCGGAGCGGATTCCGCTTTCGTTAGGTTATTCAGGATAAAATTAGAAATTTCGAAAAAAGGAGGCTCGAAGGTTGGCCAAAACTATAGATCCACCTAACATTTTTGTCTGCTAAAGTAAATCTCGGCTTCCAAAGTCTTTTGGGCTCCATATATCTTACAGATGCTTAGCAGTGTGAGCAGTAGAAAAAAATTCGAGTTTTTTCATCCAAAGCGCACCCGACATCCTGACCGCAGGCCTGCGTTCAAATTTATGCCTTCAAACTCTTTCTGCAATGTTGTCATGAGCATGAACTAAAGTAATGACATCGTTAGCATAATGAGAGTCTGAGGTTGCAGATTTCTGCAGATCCTAGTATGCAGGCTAATGGACTTCATCCTGCAAAAAGTGATTTGAACAAGCCTCGAAGTTATTTCTGGTTCTGACCATCATGCTCGTGTGAGTCACAAAGAAACATGCAAAGCAGGGTGCATTTACTAGTTAATTGTCAAAGGGTGGCAAAATTCAAGGAAGGTACCACTTGGTAAGTACTTTGAGTTTCCCGAACACGCCGCAAGACTTATGCTTTGAAAAAGAATTAAAATGCGACTTCGCAAATAATCTGACTATAGCTTACAAACTTCTTTTTGTGTTAATGCTAAATAATGCTTCTACATTTGAGCTTACAAAAATAGCGTACACCAATTTTGAAAACAGAAATTCGAAGGCAGGCTTGCGATTAGGTCTATATCGGGTGCGCTTTGGATACGAAAACTCGATTTTTTTCTACTGCTCACAGCTAAGTATCTATATGATAGATGTATCACTTTCGAATCAGTCAAGAAAGTGCGGAATCCTTTATAAAAACAATTCTCGCGAACAAAATGCGCATAAAAGTATTTTTTTGATAAAAAAGCAGATAGGCGTTTCTTATAAAGTTATGACACAGCTGGACTAAAGCCACTGCTTTGACTTTCGACTATGCTTATGTACAAAAGACTTTGGAAGCCGATAATTACTTTAGTAGACAGAAATGTTAGGTGGATTTATAGTCTTGGCCAACCTTCGAGCCTGCTTTTTTCGAAATTTTTGATTTCTTTCCCAAATAATCTAACGAAAGCGGGATCCGCTCCGGTCACTGATGAAAGCCTGTTGAACACACAGCTGTCAAAATCTCAGATCAATTCGTTGAGAAGTAGATGAACAACGGCAGTTTTTAGAGTGGATTTATAGTTTTGGCCAGCACTGTATTTCGAAGCATGGGAAGGTGGACAGTTTTAGGTTCAATCTAGGAAGTTCTTATGAATTGGTCATCTCAGGTGATGAATGGAGATTAACTATGGGCTCTAATGCGTGCTGAGCGCTTCGTGAAGATACGTAGATAGACTAGAAAATGTCCCATTATAAAGGCGTTTTTTTACACGTTTGATAAATCAGTAAGAACTTGAAAGACGATTTGATTGAGCAACTCGAGAAAAGAAAAAGAACTGCCTGGACGGCTTTTTGGACTCCCGGAGAAAGCCACCGACCACCTGGTAAACTGGATTTTCAAACATGTGTTCGTACTATACACGTACGTCATCCATAGAATTGAGAGCATCAATCCTCAAATATGCGATGATTGTCAAGACCACGACGCTGATGAAGGAGAAAACAAAACAAAAATTTTTCATTTTTGCATTCATTCGTAAAGGATGGCTGGAATTAAACAACAATCACACATATGGGGATCATGTTCAGCAGAAGCTTACCGTACAGCCAGCCATCGCTCCACTGTAAACGCACAAATAATAGTTATTGACAGAAGACCATATCCCTCTTTTATGTAGATCACAATCTTCCAATATTCGTCATACTCGCAGCTGATTGAGTAATATATTTTTACTGTGCAAGCTATAATAAAGTCAAATCATTTCAGACAAAAGTACCTAAAAAACTGTTACCTACTAAAAAGGAGATTTAAGTCCAAGGCAGCAAGAGTCAACAAGCAGTAGTTAGCGTGCGTGTGCAGGGATTTTGTTCTGATAATAACCAGACAAGTGCAGATGTTGCCAGTAAATCCTATTGCAAAGATTGCAGCAAGAATACCTACAGTGGGAATACTTGCAGCCTCCTGAAAAAAAAAGTTCGCGTAACAGAAGTCTAAATGCTTGTTGTTGATTGTAAAAGGGTTCTCGCTAATCTTAGAACTCAGAACATGCTTTTGGCAAGAAATTTTTTTCGGTTTAACGCTTTGAAATGAAACCCTCTGTCTTATAAGGTGGAGCAAGAAAGGGTAAAGCACTAGTACATTGATTATTATGGATCTCCATAAGTACAGCTCACAGAAATTCTAACAATTATTCGGGTGGTGCAAAAGCATGTCATTATTTCTGGGCCTATTTTCCAAACGAGTTTTTTTTCATCAAACCTTTGCTTTCGACACAAATTGCACATCAGAAAGCTTTTTCATGTACTTTTCAACAGTAGTGGAGAACAACAGCGGCATCTTGCACACCTGCACTCAAAATCGAAATTTTATAGCCTTTATTTTCTTAAGCGCAGATAAACAAATTTTTTCCGACGTAGTTACTGTATAGGAAAGATATTGCCTATGCATCGCATACTTAAAGGCAGTGTCCCACCAAAATTGGGGTAGCGCGGGTTTGGTTTGCCTCAAAACGGCCCGCAAAGTGCTATTTGGCTCGCATGGCCGACGCTCCCGATTACCCCCTAACGCGTTACAACATGTCACTTTCGCCCTCCACCTTCATGGGGTGTTGCCAGGCAGAAGCTGAAAAGGCACAACTCGTCCGCGTTGCTTCCACGGGGCTTTCAAAATCGGGGCCTTGGTGTTTTAGCGATTTTGGACCTGCATTTTGGACATTTTGGACATTGAGTTAGACAAAGACGAAAAGGCTTGCAATATGTAAAATTAACAACCAAATTTTGTTGAGACGCTGCCTTTATGCATATTTTCCAAAAGTATGTGGGTTTAAAAATCGACGATCCAAAGTAGATACCGCTGGCATTCTACGGTGGCAAAAATCTCTCCTGTTTAAGGCAATAAAAGCTTCGTTCATGTTGGTAAGTTCGGGATTAAGAAATTTTTCCCACAATTTCTGCGAAAACTTTATTAGTGCATTAAAAAACTTCAAATTTCTACGACCTACCACAAATAGGCTCAAAGAAGTGAACAATTTCAAATTTTCATCTTTTCGCGATACTCCGTCGTTGAAGTGTTTTATTTACACGTATACTACTTGCTCGCGGCTACAAAATAAGTATTACCAGCCATAACAACAAAACTTGCAAGAAGTCAAAATCTCGCAAAGACGAGGTTTCAAAGAATCTTTTGATTTTTTGATGCATGTTTTTCTTTCTATTTGCTGTATCAAAGCGGGCGCGCAATATGCTTTACTGGTTCTGATGTTCATGACTGTATCTGGAAAAGAAAGAGGTTAGACAAAGTTGCAGCTAGTCAGAGTGGACTTTGTAAAACGGACATTATTTTTGCACCATATATGATACATCTACGTGATTATTCATCAATGTTTACGACCTATACCAGCCAGCATCGGTTATGTGACGTCGCACCTGCGCAACTTGCGACGGTGAGGTGCGACTCATGTGATCTCAGACATTCGCGGTTGAGTCGCGCAAGACAAAACGAGGTGCCGTCACGGAATGCCTGCGCGGCTCCCGAAATTAGTGTCGGGACAGACTCAGGACACCTGATTTTGTTTCGAAACAGAAGTGCGCGACAAAATCAGGTGTCCCGGCGGACACATTCCAGACAAAAGCCGAACATCTGCGGTAGACACCATAGTGTCCCGATCGCGTTTATAGCACGCGGTCTACGCCCTTATAAACAGCGTTTTGCGTCCTCTGTGCCCTCTCTCACGCCACTCTCCCATTTCTCACGCTTGTTACTTTTCTGCTAGTAAGACCTAGTCTCACGTCATGAAATTTATTAAGAAATATCACATAATCTTACCGAGCAGGCTTTACAATGGAAGCGAAATGAAATGCACAGAAAGCAGCAAATATAGGATTTAGGATCTCTACGACTGCGACATAAGATTACGAGACAAATACAAAAGACATAATGTAGACAATATTATCGAGCTTCTTTCTTCAACTTCCTCTTCAACGTACCGTCTTCTCAATCAATCTTCCTTTGTGGTAACGCTGCCTTCGATACTTTCGATAACGACACGATTTTTCTAAAAATCAAAAATTACAATACCAGTAATCATAAAAAAACAAATAAATCACTTTTGACGGAAGAAGCAAGGCTCTTTTGGGGACAAAATGGTAAGTGCGGATGTCTGATCTGCAAAATTACAGTTCAAAAGTTTTTTTGCTGAATAAGTCAAATTTTGTCTCACATATCATATTTTATCAGTAAGAAGAAACTTCTGTATTAGTGACACTTGGAACAAAAACATGTAGGAACCAGCAATCCACTCGAGCTCTTTTTCCTTTTCCCTTCTTCCGGTATTTCATAGTTGAGAAATGATCCAAAACGTAGACGGATTTCTGCTACTGCTGTTATTTTCAAAAAAAGGTTGGAAATACCACCATGGTGGTTAATTTCATCAAATCAAAAAGTCGTTACGTCAAGTATATATCAATCCAATCTTTTTCTCTTTTTCGCATTGTCATTAAACATTTGCCGCTTTTAACATTATGTGTGTTGAATTTTTAAATGGCATCAGATCACTCCGACCATTGCCATTGCAGCAGCAATTATAGAGGTAATTTTTTTCACGTCGAAGATTTCGTCTTTCACACTCAATTTCATATATATGGTCGTAAGCGACCATCTCAGTCATATTTCAACAAATTCGTATTGCCAGCGCAGAAGTAGTGCGATTTTGGGCCACCTCGCGTCCAAAAAGAGTAGGACAGACTAGAAGGACTTCCAGTAAAGATAGAAAGGAGTTTTTGGAGGGCTTTTGAAGAAAAAATTTCGTGAGCGAGGAAAGTAAAGTTTCAAATGAGAATTTCAGGAGATAAAAAAGTGCCTGGATTTTGGCGATGTGATCGGTGATTCAAACCTTTCGGTAATGGAAAACCAAAGCATGTGCTCTAAAAACGTGGAACGGGATATTGAAAGCAGTTTGCCCCATTTGGGATAGTGGAACTGAGGAATACAATACCGTGGCTGGACAGTCACGTAAGTACATGGCTCCGGTCTGCTAAGTCAAAAAGTCCTATGACATCCTGACAGAGATCAAAAAAAAAGAGCGCCCACCTTCGAACCACAATCGAAAACGCACAGATCTTCACTAGAGTTGCTACTTTGGACAGGCGGCTTCGCCTAAAACAAACATCAGCGTAAACTAATGTTGTAAGATAAGCAGCAGATTGATGCTTGTCAAATATGCTATATATTAAAAAGATATGCACACTGTTTGGTTATCAATAACTTTCTTGCTTGAACGTATTTCGCAAAACTTGAGGTACTATTTTGTAGTGCGAGCTTAAACTTACAAGGGAGGTCGAATCAGTCGAAGTGGCCTTTCCAAATGGGTCATATACCATTTTGAAGAGCGTTGAACGCTGATTCCGAATCTGCCTTCATTATCTGCCGAGCGCTTCTGGACGTCGAGTTATAAAATTTTTTTGGAGCGAAAAATGAACTCAGAATTCAAGTAAAATTAACTATTCAGACTTTTCAGCGCCTAAATAGAGCAACATGTAGTATGAGTGTTTTGGACAGAAGGTATCCTTTGTAATGGAGTGCTCTGATAACCAACTTCGGACCATTTGAGCAGTTCTGACGAATTTTGCTCTAATTACGCATTAAATTTTTCAACCAAAGGAACGCTCATAACTCGGCGTCCAGAGGCGCTCGGCAGATAACGAAGACAGATTCGGAATCAGCGTTGCATGCTCTATAAAATAGTATGCATTTCATTTGGAAACGCCACTTCGACCAAGTATCCTTCCCTTGTTAGCTTCACATTTTGAAAATGGAATACCACTCTTTCTTCATTATTGTAGGATAATGGTAGGAACTGTAAGGAGAATTTTAAGCCATGAAAAGAGGTATTTTGGCTCAGGAAGAAAGGCCAAACAAGCCAGAAACTTTCAGTTGAGCTAATCGAAGTCGCTCATTATGAATATGAAATTTGCACTTCAGCATAGTGCTTTTTTCATAAGTTATTTAAGATTATGGTCAACGATGTTTTTCCAATGTTTGTCAGAAATCTCAATACGGCATCAGAAAAGCTCGAAAAAATGATGAAAAGTTATTTGATGGAATCAGCACGTTTGAATGCCTTGTTACACACATTCCAAATTTTTCAAAACTATTCCGTCAAAAGTCCTATTCCACAGTGACGCTGCATGCTGAAAGTTCATACCGTAATCCTACAGTAATAAAGAGTGACTAAAGGTTGCAAGCTGCAGATCTAAGTTGAGCCTCGCCCTACAGAATGGTACCTTACTCGACAAAGACGTGAAAGCAAGAGAGTTATTAACGATCAGACAATGTGCACATTTTGGGACACCCTATATATCGATGAAAATGAAGGAGAAAGAATAGACGTGCCCAGTCAAAGAACATCATTCATGAAAAAATGACAGTCGCCTTTAAATGATACCAACCCACGCTAAAGAAGAATATAGAAATCTGAATGATGCTAATAAGCGGTTAAAACAATGTAAGGGAAGGAGCGAAAGCAAAAACGTCGAGTGAAAGAGCACCAATCAGCGGAAATCAATCAATTCAGAAATGGCAATTGTTTCGCAAGTTTCAAAGCCTCCACTATGATATACGCGTAGTGCGCTTCCTGAAAAATCGCACCAAAATCGGGACGAAACTAAAATGATGACTTCCGCCGGTGCACCGAATTTTGGTGCGAACGCCCATTTTGTGGGCGGATCTCCTGCGCGACTCAACCGCAAATGCCTGAACTCTGCTGCGCGTTAAGACACGTCGGATTCGACGCTGCGTCCTCGCACGGCATATGAGCGCGGGATCGATGCTGGTTGATATAGCCTGGACTTCCCCGTAGATAACAGCTTTTTCAAGCGGTTTCTCTTTGTAAAACGAAAAATACACACGAGGTTCCATTCTCAAAATCCGTAAACGAAATTGTAGGTGAAACGAGTGCTTTTAAA